TCGCGCCTCTGCGCCTCTAAGAATGTAGTTAACTTCCGTGCCGTTAATTTGGGGAAAAGGGTCGTTTTGAAGCGGTACGGTCTTCGGTTTTACCCCGGCCCCCGGGACCTCCGGCGTAGTAACTGTCGAGGAATGAATCCGTACGGTCGAAGATTATGTGATTGAATACGACCTCTTTACGAGTTATTCCAGGAATCGGCCGACCCGACTCTGAACCGTCCATGAAACTAAGGCTCCCGAGCACTTTTTCACCCGGGGAAAGCGGCCACGAGCGCATGTGAGGGTGACCGGTCGACATTCTTGGATTCCGACGGCAATACGGTTGATTATGTACCCAGCTTTGCAAGGTGCGAAAAATCACTGGATTGTCGGAATCGTAACGTTCCGGTACAGTGTTTGTTTGTAGGTAACGTACGTACGGAAGGGTCATTTTGAAGCTGTACCCCCCTTCGTACTACGTAGGTAATTGTTGAGCTAGCCCTTTTCGATTGAGGCTGTCCCCCCCTCTTCCTAACTTGCCTTGCTGGCTCAAGTCCCAAGTACCCCCCCCATGCCCTCTAAGCCTTGTCGAGGGTTTCAAGTTGGCTTCAAAATTACGAATAATTTCGTTGACCAAGAGTATCTACGAGACTTTTGCTCCTATCAATTCCTACAGCAAGCTAGTTGCAAGGGCTTTTGACAAGTTGGTAGGGAATCCGCTTAAGAAAACGGAATAAATCCTGCCAAAAAAGGCTCCATCTGGGCTCCAACTCATGCAGGGATTTACTTCTCTGGCCTTTGTGTTTCAAAGTCTGCAAAAGCTCCTGAGTCCTCCCCCATGTAGCTCTGAGGATCTTCACAGGCTGCTAAGTCCCCCCCACTTCATGACGCTGGAAACCAATCTTGGTCCAAGGTCCCCCCCCCTCAACAGTTACTACGCGCGGGGTACCACTTCAAAATGACCCTTCACTATTACGGTAGTCCTAGTTGCGCGCGACGCAAGTGAGCTAATTTCTAGTGAGCTTCTGCCAAGCTGCAGCTGGCATACAGTATCTATTACATAATCCAAGTAGATAGCTGAGTCTGACTTGGTGGGCTGTATAATGCAGATCCTGGCCGGCGGACGCCATTAGCATGAAAAGGCTAAGAGGCTTCACAGGCAGCTTGGATGGGCCTAGGAGGAAATATCGCCAGCTGCGGCTGGTGGGAATTGCTAACAAGCTTGCAGCTGTGTCAAAGCAGATTGATATATACACAGGTCGCTGCCACGCTTCAGCTGAATCCTTGACCAACTTCGGGCCAACATTACCGCGGCCCTTCTCCCCTCCGACTGAAGATTGCAGAGCGGCCTGAGTGTTCCATCATTCCATCACGTCATCGGCGACAGAGAGGTGACAGATAAAGATCTGGCGTTCGCTCGACGCAATCATCTCCCACCTGTCGATTGCTTGGAGCTTGCAGACACGGTTGGATAAACGGGACTGCCAACAGAACACACGAAAACATGGTAAATTTGTCATCCCTTTGCATGATTCTCCTTCAGATGTTATAAGCCTCATTCTCCAAATTCCAGCTAGCTATATCTTCTGGCCAGCTACGATGTATGAAACATTGTCAACAAGTGATTGCTTGCTGACTGCCCTCGAGAACCGTGTGACAGCGGGGCTGGTGCAGGGAGAGTCAAACATGGCAATTAGCTAGGAAGATTGTACACTTCTTTGAGCAAATAGAACACAGGAATTATGGAGATGCTGAGCTGCTTCTTTGGTCTGAAAGACACGAAAGCCCTTGGATTCTGCATGAGCCTGGCTTAGCTGTTAAGCATACAATGAGCAGCTCACTGTGCTGAGAACGGGCTTTCCTTTGCATCTTTAGACCCTACTGATTGACTGCTTGCTCCAAGCACATTCGCTTCCGGACGGCTGCAGAAAGTCAGAAGCGGAGCGAACGGAAGTTCTTCCTCCGCTAACGGTCCCTGTCTGAGTCAGAGGAGTGACCTTTTCAGACTGTGTCCCGAAAAGGACCCCAAATAACCTTGCCCCTTCGCTTTAGAAGATAGTTCGCACAAGTTGCGAGTGGCACCTCAGAAAGCTCCCTGTTTATTGAGGCCGTCTGGTCATTCGGCTTAAAAACGGACCGCCATGAAGTGCTATTTTTCCTCCTACTCAAAGCACTTGGAGGCCTGGTCTCTCCATGGCCGCTCAACTCATCCCATGTCCGGAAGTTTCATGTAGGACATTGATTCAAGGAAGCCTACATCACAACATGGTCATATTCCTCCCTTTCTTTTAGACAAGATCTGGCTTGGACAGACATCCAGAGCACTTCAGCCGATTCCAATAGACTTTTAGCTAGTATCCACAGAAATTCCTCTTTTTCATCGGGTCGACCACAACCCTCTGAAGTTCAACACGTTCCATAAAATCTTAAACCTTTCAGTGGAATCTTCTAGAAACCCCTTAAGTTTTATAGACCCTAAAGAAAGCCCTAAACCCTCCTGGAACTTCCTCCATGCTCAGGTGAATGCTGCATCCGTCCCTGAACGGGACCCCAAATACTACGCAATGCACCAGCACATAGAGCTCCGCGATAGCGGTCTATACGGGCTGGGTCTTTTTGCCACGGCTGCAATCAAGGAAGGGGAGGTGATCTGGAACGACGACACATACAAGTGAGAAAACCTGTGTGGGCTTCGTGTGGTCTCTTCTTTCAGTTTCAGTGGCAGTAGATCTGTAAGGAATTTGCTGTTTTCGCACTCAAGCTGAGGCCTTATCCGGCGTTCTACAATGGATCGGTGTTGGACAATGACGAGGCAGATACCAAAAGCATAACCTGGTCTCTCGGGCCGTCTTAGACGCTCTGTATCCACATCGACACATGATCAGGAGGTGACTGCCAAGAGATGGGCCATGCAAGTGTGATTGGGCGCAATTGTGCGCACAAGAGAACGATGCAATTTTCTCAAAACCTTGATAAAAGCTGCGTGGTTCAGGGCCCTCTAGAATCTGACTGCATTCAGTAGGTGACTGACTCAATAATGGGCCTGAACTTTTGACGCACTTTCCTCGGAGGCTTGCTCAGGCGGTATGCTCCCCTTGTGCAGAAAAGCTGTTGAGACCTTTTTGTTCCCTCGATGACCGCTAGTCGAGAGCGCTCAAAGCTTCCGTTCCTAGGATGCAGTGCGGACAAGTACCTGCATTCTTCTGCAGACATCAAGTCCTAGCCCTTGGAACGCCAGCAGATTTGTACACACAACAGACTCAAAGTTGGCCCCAAGTTTTGCACTCTCCTCTAGAAGCTTGCTCGTAGAGGGCTGATCGATCAGTCCCGTTCTACGATGCAGCGCGGACAAGTACCTGCATACCGTCACGGAGATAAAGTCGTGGCCCCTTGACCGCCAGCGCGAGTTCATGCACTACTGTTACCAAGTCGAAGAGGTGACGTTTTCGGGGATGACGAGCTTGGAGATGGTCCAAAGCGAAGTGTCGAACTACATGAACCACAGCTGTGATCCGACCTACTGGTAAGCGCCCAGATGTGGCAGACTGAGTGGACCGGTATTGTATCCGAAGCTTCGCTCGTTCGATTCGTTCTGTTCTGTTTCTACTTTTCTGGTTCCAGTACGGACAATATCGTAAATTCAGCTGTTGCGCACCTACTTCAATCCTCTTTTCTAGTTGCCACGTGGTCAAGTTTGCTGCTTGTGAATCGGAAAAGAGAGCTCACCCTGTGCGGTGCAGTCAAAGATGATTGCCTTGGTTGAAGGGTAAAGTGGGTGGAACTAGTACAAACTTCTACCAACGATGATATGTATCTTAGAGCAATCCATTCCGAAGCACATGAGGTTCTCGCGACGTTTCAAGAAAAACACTTGCAGTCGAACTCCGGAGAATCATCTATGATAACGGACCAGTCAATCGCGTCGAGAGAATGGCAGCAAACAACCAAGTTGCACCGTGCTTTGCTCCGCACTGCGAAGGGTGCACAAGCTTCTTGCTGTGATTCACCAAATCACACGAGCCATTCCCATCTCTTAGGTTTCTCACAGAGGACCCCGCTCGCATGCTCGCGCGGCGCAACATCAAGGCCGGAGAGCAGATCACGTACGACTACGCCACGTCCGAGACAACGGACTTCCGGTGAGAACCAGGGATCAACCGGGACATTTGATTTTCGATTCTGCGCTTGCTTAGAGGTGCTTGAATATACTCAAAGAGCGTCCTCGTGGGAATCGGACACCTGGCAACCTGGGTTCAAGCGCGAAACGGGTGCCTTTTGTCGGAAATGCTTCTTGTTCTGTAGCCAGCACTGGCAGTTTGCAAGGATGACTCTTTCTCAAGTTCCAAGGTTTCGGACTTTCAGAAACCACTTTGAGCAGGCCTTGGGATAAGCCGAGCTTTTCAAAACGCAGCAAAATTGCAAGTGAGTCCGATCCAGCCCGAATACGATCCCGTAAACGTTTCAGTGCAGGAGTCATTTTGATTGCCGCTAGCTATGCGGGCTCATCTTTTGCAGCGACCTCGAAGCGGGTAACGCCGCCTCAAAGCTGCCGCGACGATCTGCCCACACTGCGGCCATCTTTCACTTACCCAAAACAGCCTCATCGTCAAACCAAGCATAAACTCATCTCCGTGCTTGTCTCTGCAGGCTGGAATTCGTGCCTCTGTGGCTCCGAAAACTGCCGTGGCAAGCTGTCGGGCAGCGATTATCAGCGGCCGGACGTCCAGAAACGCTATCAGGGCCACTTCATGCCGCACGTCCAACGCCTTATAAAACGCGGCGCGGCCGCGGGGAAAGAAGACAAAGTTTGATATATACGTGTTCGGCCTTCGAACGTCGGATTATGGAAGTTTCAGACACGTCAGGCAACGTGAATACTTGGAGGAAGAACTGAGAGGTTTGCAATCGGTAGGACTTAATGCTAAATCTTCGAAGAAGCCGTCAAACTCTGTCATGAGACGATCGTGAGCCAGTTCCGGTCCTGTTCCGGTTCCTGTCAGCTCCATCGGACTGCACTGTCAAATGACCCTGACTACAGTAGATTCATCCAATATCAGAGCTCTTTGCAGAACTACAATCTGTAAGTGTGAACAGCCATCTTACAGATCGAATTGATTTGGCCGTATGCGGGGCTGTGCGCGCCTGGTATCTGTGGCTGATTCGACGTCAAAATCCTAGCTTTGGTCAACTGTTTTAGGATTTTAGGATGATAAGCTCCGAATCAGGAACCAACTACGACTTTATGCAACGCGGCGTAGCTGGTGATTTGTCGAAGTTTTAAAACTCGAACATTAAGCTGTATCAGGTTTAAGATCTCCTGAACATCAATTGATACTACAAGCGGTCGTAGGCTAGTCGATCTCGGTAGCTCTAGGGGCTCCGCCTTTTTAAAAGTATAGCTTCGCAGTCTGCAATGACATGCTTCGTCGTTCTTCGTCGGCTGGTCCCCTGCTGGAGTCTCACACGGATGCCGGGTTTGAATCTCAAAAGCGGGTTAGGGCTCATCACGCTGGGTTAAAGCTTTCCGTCGAAAAGGTTGAAGGCAAGCCGTGGGTTCTCCTTCGGAGAACCCAAAATATGCTTGTTTGACATAAGGAATTCACATGCATGCAGCCCTGTCGAGAGCTGTGCGAGGTCTAAGTCGGCTGGCCAGCCTGCCAACACTCTAGGTCCATGCTGAAATGTGCATGACTCGTCCCCAATCTTCTTTCCAACCAGACTCTGCAATTCTCACAACTACGCGGTCTTTTCTCAACCACAGCGCAAAGTTACAGTATCCCTAATTTGGTCTCCTGTCATTCTCATCATGTACACTTAGTTGACAGCTTCATACAGATAAGCGGGTCCACAAGAAACCTCCACTTCGAGGCCCTCATCTTCTGAGTAGATTGTCCTCGTTCCGTCTAGCCATGGTCCACTTAATCGCGAGCAGACATCTCTATAACAAAGACCTCCCACCTGCTTTCCGGTGTTTGAGGAATGAAAACCTGTCAACCAGAAAGTATTTCTGCTCTACTGGCTGTCCGAGAACGTCCGCCTGCGCCTTACAGCTCCTGCTTCACGGGCCCCGCCTGGCCGTCTTCGACGGGCTTGAAGTCCGCTTTCAGCTCGTACGATCCTTGGAACTCGCCCCGCTTATTGTACACAGCCACGTCGTTCAAAACCTCCTTCAAGAACGACTGCGAGGCACACAAAATGTGTTGAAGAATTCTCCGTCGTATTGGTGCTGCTGCTGTTGCTGCTGTTGTTAGGGACCAGTTCAAGCCGACTTTGACAGACAGGGACCCTCGACATTCTCGCAGTCTAGGGGGAGGCCAGAAACGTTTTTGGACGGCAAATGCTCCAGCAATGATCCACCGGGTCGACTACGTTTCTTCAGCAACGATGGCCCAATTCGGAGCCTCCCTCAGTGATCCTGGACAGTCGCCCTTGTCGGGTCAGAACAGCGACCAATCGGCAACAAACTCCGTGCTCCACAAGTCGAGCTGAAGAGCCGCGGTCCACTCACGTGCGGTTGTCGCGTTTCCGCGACCAGGTCCTTGAGCGTCCACCGCTGCTTCCGCTCGAACAGCGAGAAGAGCAGGTCCCGCAGGTCGTCCGTGCTCAGGTCACGCGCCCTCCGCGTGTCCGACTTCTTCGCCCCGGGCGCGAGCGGCGCCAGCCCCTTGGCCCGCTCGTCGTTGATCGGGATGATCGTCGTGCCCGTTCGTCGATCCTCGTCCAAAACCTGCAGCCGCCCAAGGAGGTCGGACTTTACTCACCGTCGAACTTTGACTATGGTGAGCCGTTCAATGTCCAGAAATAACCTGGCGGAATTACTGCAAGAGTCCAGGATGAAGAAGCTACATATTGAGCAGGCCGGAAGAAGTGACAGCTAGTGAGCAATACTTGACCATCGACCAACACCCAAACCAGAGGAGCAGTCGCCGGAGATATGAAGGGACACCGATATTGAGAGGGTGACAACTTCGAAGAATTCAAGCTTCCAACTCTGCTCAAGCTGGCAAGCGCATGCTGTCGCTTTGCACGTGCAAACAGTGTCGTTCTTCATTGCCCGACACTTGAACCAACGTTCCCTTGTTACTTGGTGTGGAGGCTGAGCCCCAAAAAAAGGGGCTTGCCGCCATATTGAAAGATAAATCGACGGTTCCCCCATTTAAGAAATTCCCTTTTTAAGAAAGCCCTGCGTTCGAGGACAGAGAGATGAACAAAGAAGGCGGGAACAAGCGAGGAGGAAAGGCAGATCAGTGTTGAAGGGAACTAAGAAAGAAAGTGTAGACTTCAGAGAGAGGAGGCGCTTGCGGTACCTGGGAGTACCGAGTTTTGGAGGTGGCCTTGATGACCCTGTCTTGGAACAGCCGGTGGTACGCCGCGTCGACGCTGCGCGGCTGCATGTCGAACTTGGCCGTAATCCGGCCCTCCACCGCCACCTGCCCTGCATCACAAACACGTGTCGTTCTTCCGACGCTCACGGAACAAGCAGGCCTGCAGTCGCGCCACATCTAACCGCCTCGTGGGTCGCATCAGTCAAAGGAATACGCGGTACAAAAGAAAACATGCTCATATTTGCTACTCAGGCGAGTGGTGAGTGAGCCCAAGTAAATCACACCCAGCCGCTCACGCAAGACTGGAAGTCCTGAGCCTGCTTCACAAGCCTCCAGAAGACATGGACAACAGCGGCACCCAATCCCGACGAGCTAAAGACTTTCCGAGGATTCGACTATGCCGTGGAACCGGGCAGTCTGTTCAGACAAGCTGACGGCCATTCGAACTGCCGATGCATAATATTGCCATATTCGTATGCCCCGAGGGACACAAAGGGAGTTGTCATGAACCAGCGGGCACAAGTTGTAAAGACCACCACCAACCGTCCCATTGCATAGTAAGTTCCAAAACTGACGAAAGAAGCTGTACAATGTTCGATGGAGAACTGTTCAGCTTGAACGAGATTGGAGACCCTTGAATGTACCGAGCACAAATCTGGACCGCTTCAGAAGCGCGTGACGAACTCAAGCATTCAAAAAGTCAGAAGGCTGGAAAGGACCCCTTCACATTGCTCGGCCACGCCTGGCAGGAGAAAGATCAGAAGCAAAGAAAAAGTAAAAGCTAGGCCTCCAAGGAGCGGATACATGGCCAACACGACCTTGCCCTCAGAAGCTTTTGCTTGTGAGCCAGCCCTCCAGCAAAGAAGACAAAAGGCTGGCATCGATTGTCCTATTTCAATAAAAAACTGACAAGACATCTTTGAGACTCACCCTGTGTACTTTCGGAGAAAAGTTGCATGGGAGCGAATCCGGAGTGGATGTTGAGCTGGAACTCGCGCGGCATGGCGGCAGCTTCGTTCCCCGTCACATGGACAGTCATCTGAGAGCAGCGCAAAACACAAGACAAAGGTCTCTATTTGTCAGGCATACTTCGAGGAATGATTGCATTATTTGCATTGAATTGTCCATCACAGTGACCCACAAGTACTGTGATCAGTGTTGCCCCGCATGACAAGAAGCATTGGGGGTACTCGCAGATGTGGCGTCGGGGGTGGGGTTCGGATTTCGGATCCGAGCAGGTTGCGGTTACTGCCACCAGGTATTTGGACCAACTGACGCTTGACTCTGACCGCACACATGTCTGACAGGGCCGCTCCAGGATGCTGGCAGAGCGAATTCAGTTGGGGCTGAAAGGGCCACCAAGAGATGTCTTCAGAGATTGTCATCTTGTGACTTGCTTGACCAAGTACAGCAGATGTGAGAGAAGAAGGCGGTGTTGGGGGTGGTGGCAGGCCCCCTTCTGCGCTCTGTAGTTGAGGCGCACGAGTGATCTTCCCAACTCGACCAACCACCGGAGGGCCTAATGCTCACAGTGCGCAAGGTCGCATCAATCACCGATAAGCGCTTATTGCCGGGCATACGTAACTTCTGTGAGGAAATTGCATGTTCAAAAGACAAGTAAGAGCAGGCGGTCACCTGCGGTGCCGCGGCCGGCGTCCCTGGCTCCGCCGTGGGGTCCACCACCATGCGCAGCCTGCCGACATCAGCAGCTCCGCTGGCGGGGCTCCTCCAAGCCTCTGAAACAAAGTGCGGCACTTTGGCAAGCCAGACCTCACGTCCAGCTCGTGAGAGCTCCAGCGGTTCCGCCTCAATCTCGGACAGCTTAGACGTCATTGGGACGACAGCAATCTAGACAAAAACTTTGACTAATAGCCTTTGGTGTAATTGTTGTATCTTCTACCCGAGTGATGTGATGGCCAAGCGAACCTTAGCCCTGCCACACACCATGATTGCAGCACTACTAAGAATTACAATCTGCACGTCCTCTATGGGAATGCGCTCCTTGTGATACGACAAGTAGTGCCGCACTTGCTGACAGAAGAAACAGAAGTGCTGCAGAATTCACCTGTATGCAAGATGGAGAAGACGCCAAAGTTTCCAACACTAGTCTGAGAGTGTAGCAATGCAGAAGAAGGCGCAACGATCGCAAGGCCAGAAGCTGCTGCAATGACGCAAGAGGCACAAAGTTGCTGAATAAATTTTGGTAGAATCGGACGCGGTACTCGACGGTTCGGACGTGATTGGACACTCAAACCTGGTCGGGTAGTCTCAAAGCGCACTAAAATCCTAAGACCAATGGCTCTGCCGTTAGTGGGAACCCTAATCGTAGCGCAGTCACAGAGAAGGAATGTAACCCTAACAAACCGTCACAGGGAAGGGGCGTAACCCTAACACACTGTCACTGCTTTGTGACTTGACCCTAAGGCTGGTACGAGTGCCCGGTTGAAGTCGTGGTAATAGGTCCGGTCCTCGTACAAATTCCTGGCGGTGGGTACCGTTTCGGTCGATCGACGGTCTCGATCGTCCGTCTCCAACTCTACCAAAATTTATTCGGGAACTTTGTCCGTTTTGCTGGGCCCATCTGAGGAAGAGAGCCGCGCCGGCCGCCGCCGCGGGGCCTGGAACCATATTCCGCAGGAGTGGTTCCGTTGAACGAATCCGCCGGAAATAGCCGGAAATGGCGGTCGCATTGTGCAATGCAGTCTTTGGAACCAAGAAGCGGGTGGTTTGTTTTGCAAGTTTTGGTGCATTTGAAGACCACTTACAAGCTTCGGGTGTCACAATGTCAGTCGCGTAGAGTGGCCTCAAATTTGAGAATAAGCGCAAGTTGAAAGGTGAGTCTAGAGTCCAAGGCCTCTCCGCTGGTTTCTGCACCACTTCTCCACGGCGAAGCTGCTGTTGGCGGCAGGCCGCGCTGTGGCTGCGGGGATGGCGGCCCACGGCTGTGCTCTGAGCTCCCTTTCCCGGCGCCTGTCAGGCACGCCCCGGCTGATGGGGCACAGCCGGCAGCCATGTGCAGCAGCAGCAATTGCGCTCGGCCACGCAATTCTACCACCAATCAAGTGCCCTATGCCGTCAACATTCTTTCGAACACAAAAGACTTGCCTTGCAGCAAGTACTGTCCTGCATTCTGTTCAGACAGGCATACTGACGAGACTGGGAGCAGGAGGGGACGTCCATTTGACCGGCAATGCAAAAGGCCCAATGAGTAATCAGGTCAGGTGTAATGCCACGGAGGCTGAGCAGGTGGCCGCACCACAGGTGACGGGTCAGAAGAAGAAGAAGGGCGGGCAAGGGGGGGCGGGTGCGCCGCCTGGCAAAAAGAAGAAGGAGGTCGTGGAGCAGCTGGACACCACGTCGTCGCTGGAGGACATCCGCACCCTCCGGGTCGCAAAGGTGAGCGCCATCAATGAAAACAGGGCCATTCAATGGGGCTACCAGCTGGCTGAGTTGAGAGTAATGTGCGCGTTGCACCACCACCATCGACCACGCCAAGGCCCCAAGTCAAAGCAGGCGCAGTTGCGATTTGATGCAGGCATGCGGTCCCTGGCGCCATCGTCACAGAAACTCCTCGCAGCAGGTCTATCCGCCAGTGCAAGCGGCCAGTGCGCCAGCAGGGTTGAGAAGGTCACCAGCTTCCTTGCAAGATTGCACAGTCTCTGTCTGGGCCGTATGTCTAAAGCTGTGCGCGTGCGTGCAGGTGGAGGAGCTGCGCGCGGGGGGCCACAACCCGTTTGCGTACACGTGGCAGCGCAGCCACAGCTGCGCGGAGTTGCAGCAGCTGTACAAGGAGCTGCCGGCGGGGGAGCTGGCGGAGGGAGAAGAGGACCAGGTGGCGGTGGCGGGCAGGATCATGGCCAAGAGGACGTTCGGGAAGCTGGCGTTCCTCACCATGCGGGACAGCACGGGGGAGATCCAGGTGGGGGCAGGCACACCACCCCGGCATCGAAAGCAGGGACAGGGGGAAGTGCGCGCCTGCATCTCGCTGGGTGCACAGGGTCGTATGGAACGCGCGGGGGGTGTCATCAGAGTGTCAGCCATTGATTGGTTGCAGTGAACTTGGGGATCTGCACCTAGGTTAGTCACAGGCCCAAACAATCAGTGACCTCGACATTCGGCTTGCTACTTTAGAACGCGAATGAATTCAATGGTTGCAATTCTGAGCTCGGGCGTTCAAACAATGGTCCAATCTTCCCTCCCGTCATGTCCTGGCTGCAGTTGTACGTTGAGAAGGCCCGGGTGGACGAGACTGCGTTTGGCTGGCTCAAGGGGGGCCTGCTGGACGTTGGGGACATTGTGGGGGCCAAGGGAACGCTCAAACGAACAGATAAAGGTGAGGTGCACTCAGATGCAAGCCAAGTTGAAAGTTTCTCAACCACGCAAATGCTTCTTGAGTAATCTGGTTCTGAGCAGAACACACGAAATCGCATACCATCTGGGTAGTAGGCAGTCAATTTGCAGCCGTAAGGATCCATTGGGCGCCACAGGAACAGGCCCAATGGGTGACACTCGTTAAACTGCTCCCGATGCTCTGCTTGGGCGCAGGAGAGCTGTCTGTCCATGCGACCTCGCTGGCCGTCCTCACAAAGTCGCTGCTACCTCTCCCGGACAAGTTCCACGGCCTCACGGACGTGGAGAAGCGGTACCGGCAGAGGTGAGGCAACGCATGGGAACGTAGCTCCGTACATTCCCGTCCGGCCGTGTATTAGTCATTTGAGCTAAGATCGATGGAACAGAGGTAAGAGTCGGCACGTGTTGACCAGACATCTGGAGAATTCTCGCGTGAGAGCTTTTCCTGGATGGCATGCTGTTCAAATTCTTTGTTACATCTGTCGCAGTTTGGACGAAAGATCTAGGACGTTGCTCTTTTCTGGTTGATGTGTGTGACGCCCCTGTTCTGTTTGGCAGGTACCTGGACATGATCGTGAACCCGGAGGTGGGCGACGTGTTCCGCTCGCGCGCCAAGGTGCTGTCCACCATCCGGCGGTACCTCGAGGACCGGGGCTTCCTCGACATCGAGACGCCCGTGCTGCAGGTACGCCTCGTGCTCCAATGAGCGTCCTGTCTCTCGAGTCGCTCATGTTTGCGATTAGGCCTCACGGGGTCGCCATTGGAGGTACGAGCGTTCAAAACCTGCTATGCAACCTTTCGCCTCGATACAAGGCATTGGAGTGCTGCTTGCTTTCACCTCGCATGATTAAGTCTTGGCAATAGCCTCATTGTGCGTACGGCTGTGCAGACTGCGGCTGGTGGTGCGGAGGCGCGGCCGTTCATCACGTTCCACAACGCGTTGGGCCAGCGAATGTTCTTACGGATTGCCACGGAGCTGCACCTTAAACGGATGGTGGTGAGTAGGCTCCTTACAAGTACTGCTGCCGTTTGTAAGTGGCGATCGTCACGCTTCTTGAAAGTCGGGCAGGAGGACCGTGAATTGGAAATGTCTGGTCCGCATGCAAGTGTTTCAAGTCCCGGACTATCTCAATTGGCTGCGACCACTACTATTCCTGGGTCTCCAACCAATCTCGCGATGCAAGGTCTGCGGGCTCAGGGGGCTTGCCGGGTCACGAACTCCAATCGCCCCGCGTGCGTGCCGCAGGTGGGCGGCCTAGACCGCGTGTTTGAGATCGGGCGTATCTTCCGCAACGAGGGCGTCTCCACGCGCCACAACCCCGAGTTCACCTCCGTCGAGGTTAGTCCGCCGCGGCTCATCCAGCACGGCGCCACCTCGCATCCACTCTAGCGCATGGCCTTTGATAAACTGATCTGCTTGTTAGCTCGCCGGCTTTTGCCCGCTTGCACACTAAGGGAAGCATAAGACTTACCAGCGGGCCTGCTGGGCCGCTTTCTATCTCGACAGCCAGTGTGCCATTGGTGCCCATTGGTTGCGCCTTCCGATCCTGTCCCGTCCGCCCGCGCACTTCAAATCGACCAGAAAGCGGTTGGTCTTCTGCCGGGTGTCGTTACAGGCATGCGGCCAGCCTGTCTCCTGCTGCTCTGACGTGCTCGTGTGGACCCGGTGATGGCGCAGGTGTACCAGGCGTACGCGGACTACTTCGACATGATGGACCTCATCGAGGAGATGGTCACCGCGTGCGCGCTCGCCGTCCGCCACACCCTCACCTTCGACTACCAGGTGCGCGCTCGGGCCGTCCCTTGTTTGCCTGTGCCGCTGTCGAAAGGTTGAGAGGCCACGTAGAAATGGGCTGGCAGCCAGTGACCTCGAAGAATGGTTGTGGGCCTGCTTATGTGCCGGGGGGCGAGCGTGCCATGATTGCATCTGATTATGTAGGAGGGTGTGTGAGAACATTCCTCTTCACCTCAGCGATCCCTGTCCTGTGATCCAATCACTTCACGGCCAGATTTGAAACAGTCTCTCGCTCGTCACTCCTTTCCGCTGGCCGTGCGCAAGTCGATTATTGTCTATGTTCTGGACTTTTCCCCGCCGCCCACTTTGCCTCACTTTTGCACTCGTCCACGCAGGGCACGCCGTTGGACTTCACGCGGCCGTGGCGGCGAGCCACGATGCACGACCTGGTCAAGGAGGCCACGGGGGTGGACTTTGATTCGTTTGCGGGCGACGTGGAGGCGGCGCGGGCCGCAGCACTGGACGCAGTCGCAGCGGCGGGAGGCAATGCGCGCAGCCCGGCACTGCGCAACGCCACCAGCATAGGGTTCATCCTGAACGAGGTGCGCAGCACAGCCGCCCGTCCGTGGGCAACTTGAGGCGAGGTCACATAATCCCTGCAAAGGCGTTCAGGTTTCTTGCAGCGTAGCCGGTGAGGGAGGACTTTGGTTGGCGTGCACCTGGGTAACGGCACTGCAAAGTGACAAGCTGGCGAGAGGGGTTTGGTCGGGTGCTCACTTGGGCGCTTGGTGGGGAGTGCAGGTGTTTGAGGAGGTGGTGGAGAAGACGCTGGTCCAGCCCACGTACGTGACGGAGCACCCCGTCGAGATCTCGCCCCTCGCCAAGCCGCACCGAAGGTACCGCCACACCCGCCACCACCTTGGCGCAGTGCGCGCAGTAGCTTCGGCGGCTGACGAACGCCGAGTCATATCTGATTTTAGGCTTTTAGAGGTTTAGGCTGCCTTTGCGTTACGAGAGGAGTGCGTCTCGTGGGTGGCTTGTGGGGTCGTCCAGAGCCACAGGTGCCGGGATGCGGCCGCGTGGTCTGCTCCTCTCATCTGCGCTCGAGACGGACCCTTCCCCAAACAGACAGCAGTCTAGTGCACACTCTGTTGTTGAGCTGCCACCTTGCGTTGTCGCACACGCCCAATGGCCCTGTGGCCGGAGCCGTGACGGTGCTGCCTGCCCGCTGTGCAGCAAGCCGGGCGTCACGGAGCGGTTCGAGCTGTTCATCTACGGGCGCGAGCTGGCCAACGCCTTCTCCGAGCTGACGGACCCCGTCGACCAGGTGAGACGCCCCGACGGGTGGGCCAGGAATGGGGGCGGCCAAGCCTTTCCCAGCTCTGAAGCGCGGGATGCTTGACCATTTGAGCGTCACACTTGATGGATCTGCGGTCGTTCTTCTCTAGTTTGACCATGGCATGACGCAAGGGCGCCAGCCGCTGACGTCCTCGTCCCCATGCTGTGTTGTACAGCGCGCGCGGCTGGAGGCGCAGGTGGCGGCGCACACGAACCGCACGGAGGCGGAGCTGGCGGCAGCGACGTCGGAGGAGGCGATACGCGCCGCGCAGGAGGACGCATACGACGTGGCGCTCGACGAGGACTTCCTCACCGCGCTCGAGTACGGCATGCCGCCCACTGCCGGCATGGTGAGTGGCTCGTGCACCGCCTTGCGCGACGCATGGCCTGGGCTGCGTACACCAGAGCGTGCGGATGGGGTACCCGCAAAGAATGTTGTTTGCGTCCTCTGGGCTCGTTGGGTGTGCGGAAGAGCTCGAGTGTTTGGGCCTTGCAAGAGAGGAGTTGATTGCAGAAGCGCATGGTTTGAGTTGGTGTTACCCTTCCATATGCCTAAGGTGACGCTCTCTCCACTCACTTTGTCTTTCCTCCGTCGTTCCTTTGCAGGGTCTCGGAATTGATCGATTGGTCATGCTCCTGACGGACAGTGCTAGTATACGAGACGTTATTGCATTCCCTGTACTGAAAAATCACTGAATGCGTCTGCACTGCTTCCTCAAGTTATGCGAGAATGTGATCGTGACAGGACTTACCTCTGTCGAAGCAAGCTGCTGCAACCTGCTATATGGTCTGGCACCAGATTCGTGCACGTGCATCTCTTGCCACAGATGTTCTGACGGCAGAGTCAGCCGGTCCACTCCATGACACACAGTATACTATGCAATTGTAGCCTATGCAATGCAAGGATTGCTACGCACATACACTTCTTGGAAAGGAACGTGTTTGTCACACACGTGTGGCTCATATATTTCTCGTACACATCAAATACCAGCCCTAGGAAACCGCGCAACAGCCAGCCATGCCCATCCTTCAATAACAGATTAATTGCGATACAACCAAAGAATCAATCCTTTGTGTCGCGAGCAAGCTAAAAAGCACGTACGGCGAATCGTTTGTGTACGGGCATCAACAATATGCAGCATGTTTGATGATATGCGCGGATTATGTGCCGCCCGTCATGAGAGCCGCCCATGTTGAGCCGCTATCTCGAAGAACCATGGCGAAGGCTATTTTAATAGCTAAGCGTCATACGTGGGGCCATGAGGCCAAAGGCTAGCTAGCCAGACTCACTTGCGCGCCACTTGCCTCAAGGTATATGTATGTGGACCCCGATCGACTCGAAAACCTTGTCGATCGGACCATGACTCAGTGCGCGAGTGGCACGAAAATGCATGTATATGGAACGTAGCTAACATCATGCATGTGCAACATACTGCTGGGATGGACGGTGTAAGAGAATTTCCTTGTGTTTCCACTAGTCTATCATGGTCAATCCCACGTCACTCATTCCAGATGGAGGATCGACTATCTAAGCTTCATGCTACACATCATGGATTCTTTAGAAACTTGTCACAAAACGCCCTTGGGCGATGGAGTGTCGATTGCATGGCTACCAAAGCACATTTTTGTGTGCAAGATGCATGGGAATGTCAAACGAGGTCAGACATTCCCGGTTGTTCAATGGTTGTGTATACGAAGCGTCATTGAAATGTGCGGTAGCTGGCCCTGAGCCACATCCTACAGGTGGTCAACAAAAACTTGGGGCTGCCTTGCTCAAGGAAGCGTGGACGTCAAATAAATAAGCAACGGAGTGGGAATCCATCTAACTTCCACAACTTCTAGACAATGGTTAATTTGACCCTATCCCTGCTTACGATGATCTTCTCTCAGAGTCGTTAGCAAGTTAGATCCCAGTAACCAACTCAAAATTGTGGCTCTTCCATCAAAATTGAAAAATTGTAATGCAAAGAATGAATGCTCCAGTCATCAGTAGTGTCCATATAACAGCTCAACGAGGCCCCAGGCCTTTCAACTCGCTCAACACTGTCTCTTCGACAAAAATGCCGCTTGCTAGGAGTCACACCCGCTCAACGCGACCGTGAAGGGCCTTTCTACGGCCCTAAGACAAGGACTCGAGCGAGACGTACGTCCCTGCCACTGCGCACACGATGCCGATACCCACCACGAAGTAGTTCCAGTACCGCTCCCCATGCGACAGCGTGGGCCCGAACAGCTTCAGGTACGCCAGCGACGGGAAGATGACGCTCACGGCCCTGCAGCACGCACAGCACGCGCAGTCAGAGCGGGCACGCCAAGCAACACAGCAACAGCCGCAGAGAAGCTTGGCAGAACCTTTGGTAGATAATCATGGGGAGCCAGCTGGCGCAAAAAGTTCAGCCAAGCAGTAACACATCAGCAGCGGCTGATCAGCACGAGGACGGACTGGCGGCGGCTGTCCAGGGGAGTGCGGAACGACTCACAGCGTGAGGGAGCTCCCGATGAGGGCCATAACGCTGCCAAAGAAGGGCACGCTCGTGGCCAGAAACTGCAAAAACATGCCGAAGATGTCAGCATGGCACCAGGACGGGCAAGGTGGAGGCGGTTGTAAGACTGCGCCCTTGGGTGGAGGGGGCGACCGGGACGCTAGGCTCCACAAAATTCATTTTGCACCTCGAAGGGGCGCAGGGCAGGGCACCCTCGCTTTGGCGACACTGTGAGGGCCGGAGAAAAAATATTTCGCAAGCATGCGGCCGTACAGCTGTTGAAGACATTGGCAGCCTCCTTGCTGCAGCTCGGCCGTTACCTGAAGCAGGCCGCTGGCACCCCTAGGCAGAGCTCGAAATCATTGCAAAAAAGGCACCAGAGTGAAGGAGGCCACAGCTTGCCGTTCCCGTGGCTTACCAGCGCTGAGCCGCCGAGTGCAGTGCGCCCCAGTATCCGCGGCAGCGGCAGCAGCAGCGGCTTCTTTGAGGTGTCGCCTGCCACGGACGGCCCTGCACAACACACCAGCGGGTCAGCCGGGCACGCAAACCGTGCAGAAACAGCCAATGCAAGCAGCTTAAGGTAAGCGCACAAGGGGCCACGAGTCAACCCAAGGGCGTGAGCAGAGGCGCACCTGGCTTGGTGAGGCCCAGCAGTCCCTCGAGGCCGCGCGCGACGGGGTCCATGGTCAAGGCAAACTGCAAGTAGGGGCGGAGCACGTGTGAGGGGCATGGTCAAACGGGGCTCGAGGCTGCCCTGGTTTTGTAGCCTGGTTTAATGCCGAACTTATTCTGAGAGTGCGACCTTGAGGGTTCCACACAGTGCGCCAGTCTCGGAGGACCAGGGAGCCGGCTGAGCATGAAAGTGATGAGCACGAGAGCCCTTACTCCACGCAGCCACACAAACTTGAAGGAGTCGGGCCGATTGCATACCTTGGTGAAGGGGTTAACAACAATGAGCGCGGTGGCCAGCATGGCGAGCGCGCCAGAGGGCAGGTTCAGCGTGACCTCCTCCATGACCTCGCTGCCGTACATCTGGTAGCCCACCACGCCAATCAGCGTGCACACCGCACCCACAATCAGGTACCTGCAGCACCACCACCGCATACCACCGCTCAGCGCGCTAGCTAGTGGTCGAAATGGGGTCGGGCCCAATGCAGGTCCAGCCCATTTCCAACTATTCAGTGTCCGTTTGAGGGAATGCTGATTGGACAAGACGGGTGCAGTAACCAGGAAACGACAACCACCATCATGGAGGCCACACTTTCAAGAATGAAGACGAAAACAGGGTTGGAGCCATTCGAGCCAGTCCACTCACGTGACGTCCAGCATCTTGGGGTACAGCTCCGGCTCCTTCATGCTGGCCTTGATGTTTGGGAAGACCGCGTGGCCCGCGTACACAAATGCGAGCAGGCCGAACGTGAGCGGGAAGGTCTGCAGGTTCAGCAGCTGCGTCCCAGGGCCCGCAGGGAAGCTGCATGCAGCAGGGGGGGGATCAGAGAGCAGAACCTGCGCAAGAGCAGAGGGGGGAAGGGCGCAAGAAAAAAGATGCACAGATTCTTTATCCAAGGGACCTTGTCAACAGGATGTGGATACCAACGGCCCGGTGCACTCACTAGGTCCGCAAAGCTTACCCCTCCTGGCAGTAGGTGGTGAGGATGACTCCCAGCACGCTCAGCGATGCAGCCGCGCCCAGCGCCCCCAGGCCCGCGAGAGCGCTCAAGTCCGGCAGCCACGTGGTGGGGATGAGCGCCAGCGCGCTGGCCAGCATGTAGCGGTCCGGCTCCCCGCCAAACAGGCGCGCCAAGTTATCCCCCTCCAGGATAAAGAACTGCCACCACAGAACCAAGCCAGGGGACTCAGCATACGGACGTGAAGCGCCAGAAGCCGCTGCCAAAGATCGTTAACCTGGACGCCCGCCCCAAGGTGACCCAGTGTCACATCATATGATGACAGGACATTGATGTTAACTCCTCAGAGCGCGGAAGCAACCGCCTGAACTCTCTCAAAACTTGGGCAATCCCCCGAGTTCCTCCTCACCAAGCCGCACGTGCCAACGAGTTCAACATAGAGCACGCCCGTGATCACTCTGCGGCCCCACGCCCCAAACGCCGCATCCCCAATGTCTTCGTAGCTCTGCAGCCCCCGCACGAATCCGCCCTCTTCTGGCGCGGGCCGTGCGTTGAGCAGGCAGAGGCGCTGCTGGCACTCGCCCAGCACCTTGCCTGCGCACAAGCACACACGGCGGTGTCAACATGAACAATTGCAGCTTTATGCAGGAAGCAAAATGCATGTGGAAGAATGTGTGCACATAGGACATGCCATTGCATGGGGCCTTGACTAATGGCCAAGGGCTTGATCCATGCTAACTTCCCCGAGTTCGACAATTCAACCCTGCGTTCCACCTCCTCAGGAACCATGTTAACATGCCCACACGCAATCTCTGGCGCCGCTTGCCTGTGTAGTTGGTGATGACCCCCAGCAGGCCCAGCGTGGCCAGCGCGGCCCAGCCCCCCTCCGCCATGGCAAACGGAATGGACAAAAGGCCCACCCCCAACAAAATGTTCACGGCATTCAGCAGTGCCTGGTTAAAAGTGCACCCCGCAGCCGCAACCTCGCCCTCGAGCTCGGAGGCAAGCTCCACTTCAGAGGGAGCGATTGTCATTGAGGAGGGGGCAAACACAGAGGCGGAGTGCAGGGCGCTAGGGGAGGGAGAAGCAGGGGACACCGGAGCCCTGGGGAGAGGAGGGCTCTTCGAGCTGGAACTCTTTGAGCTGGAGGAGGGCAGGGAGAGGGCAGGCGGCCGCGCCCCCGCCTCGCTAGGGGGGGAGCTGCTACTACTGCTGGGGCGGGGAGAGGGGCGGCCGCTGACGCACTCCGCTGGGGATGAGGGAGGGCGGGCGACAGCGGCACGCATGCTCTACAAAATGCAAGAGGCGCAGGAGTCACGCAGGTGCAAGTCAAGAGTCAGGACACAATGTATTCGCTGCTTTGTCCAACATTGACTGCATCTGCGGCAGTCTACCTAGTTCATGTGCACATACCGTCCTGGAAAGTGGCCATGACGGGTATCCAGCCGCTCAAGAGCGCATGTGGATTTCTGAGACTAGTGCAAGAAGGTGAGCTTTGCAGCAATTGTATATACATTGAGCATCCTGCACACCACATTCAGCTGAAAGAACTGTTTGACCGGAATGTGGACTTCGCGCCGCACATTCGCTTCCAACCATATCCTCCAGCAATATCTACTTGTTGCATTGCATGACCCGCAGCTCACCCGTTGTCTGGAAACACATTCCTCCGTCAACCCCATGGGTATACTAGTCCCATTGTCTCGGAGCCAGCCATAATCCCCCCTCCTTCTGTGGACTTGCCTATGTACAGAGTCATTTGTGCTCCCAACTAGACTTAAAGAAGACCTCAGGGTTGCAGCCGCCAACTCCAAGGTTCGGCCCGAGGTGGATGCAATGCAGTCAACATGTGAGGCGCTTTGCAGCCAGCGTGACTGATGGCTGATGCCCGACATGGCAATGGTGCCCTGTGGCCCCATCATTGCCACTGCCAAGGTACACAGTGTCCGGGCAACTCAAATGACGCGCCGCAGCATACACCTAGCAAGTGCGCGTTGTTGGCCCGCTTTCCGTTCCTTTCTCAGCAGGATTGGTCTCCCTTTCTCCGCCCGTCTGGCTGCATTCCATGGAGGCCCCACAAAGATGGAGGCTGGCTCTTGGCAACTGCTTCAACAAGAGCTTCAGCTACTGCCATGGCGATGCTGTGAAGCTGTAGCCTGTCCCCTGCCCAGTCAGGAGCCCCGGCAGTGGCCTGCTGACGGCGCGGCGGCGCTGAGTGACGAGGAGGCCGCCCTGGAGGGGCTGCCAGGGCCGCAGGTGGCGCCTTCGAACAGCTGCGCAACGAAAAGTGGATAGGGCGACCAAGGAGAGGCCGCAACGTAGCAGAGGAAGGGGGACGTGGCAACATACAGACCTGGAGTTACGTCACCGCGACTGCTAACCCGACTTATAGACTAGGTACCTAGGCTAACTGCTGACCAGGCCCGGTGTACCGATAATAGTACCCTACCATTACCGTGACGAGCGGCAAAGTTGTCCAGGGCAGAGGGATTGCCCTACCCGGCATTTGCAGGTGTTCGGTGTCAGTTGAGCGCTCGAGCCGGCCATTTCCTGAATAGTGATTTCCTCTTCTCCTTTTCCAATTGGGACCTGATCGTTGAAGCTTGTGGGATTCTCGGATCATATCTGCCAGAGGTGTTCCAACAACTGGAAGCCAGGGAAGCTACAATACCGTACGGGACCTTTCGAACTGTTGCTTTGGCGGCGTTTGAATGTTCACCACCCGAATAGATCCACCCTTTTGCTATTTCTGCAAATGCCAATGCAACAGTCATTTTCAGGTTGATTGTGACATTCAGTGAAAGAAGTGGCGCCAAGCAGGGTGAGGGGCCAAGGTGAGGGCGCCTACCTGCCACACACCTCGCCAAGGGGAGGGTCCCGTGTTATAGGGCAGCATGGAGGCGGGGGACTTCCAGAAGCTGGCCGTTAAGCAGTACCCCCCTCGAAGCATCAGGGAAACGGCAGAAGGGAAATTTTGGAAGTCGTTTGGCTCTCCAGTCCTTACACAGCACGTTGGCCCGGTGTCAACCATCGACTTCAGCCCTGCTGCCCCGTATGATTTTGCAGTCACCAGCTCCACTAGGGTGAGTCACAGCGGCGGGGTAATGGTGCCCGCACGATGATCTTTGCTATGCTTTTCAGACTGTCAATGCTGGCAGTCTTTGATTCCTGAGCCAATCCTCGCACGCTGGCTAGCCGCCTTCAAGGAAGGTTCGTTTGGAGCTGCACCGGCGGTCATGCCAGACTGCCCGGGAGAGGTGGTGGTGGAGCTTCAAGCAGTCCCGAATTTGCATGTCCTGCTTTTCTGTTGTTGATCCATCTGTTTGGAGACCACAGTATGAAGCCGGTTTGTGGTTTGCCGCCCAGGTCATTCTGTACGACAGTGCGCTCCGGAAGCCCAAGAAGACCATCACCCGCTTCCGGGACATTGCGTACTCCGGGACTTTCCGGCCCGATGGGCAGCTGGTGGTGGCGGGCGGGGAGACGGGCATAGTGCAGGTCTTTGATCCGGGCAGCCGCGCGGTGCTGCGCCAAATGAAGGGGCACTCCAGGTGCGTCCGTGCGGCCCGCGCAACGCCAGCACTGGGGCATGCCGGTGGGCCATCAGGAGATCTGTGTGCCTCCTCGTGGCTGCGCATCCTGCTTCACAACTATGTTCAATTGTTCATCGGGCTACTGTGGAGGCAAGGAAGACCTGCTGCCGCTAAGAGTCTGAGCTAGTTCCCGGTGTGGCGGCACCTTCGCTCACCGTCTGTTGCTCGCATGTTGTCCCCTTGCAGAGCGGTCCACTTTGCCCGGTACGCCCCCGACAAGACGCACATTGCCTCCGGTGGGGACGACGCAACGGTGCGGTATTGGGACTCCCCTGCGCAGGCGCAGCTGCTGTGCTTAGAGGGCCACACCGACTACGTGCGCTGCGGCGCGGTGAGCCCCGCCAATGGGGACATGTGGGCCACCGGCTCGTACGACCACACACTGCGGCTGTGGGATGTGCGAGCGGGCGCGTCTGTCCTGCGCCTTGATCACGGGCAGCCCATCGAAGCGCTTGCTTTCTTCCCCTCAGGGGGCCTGCTGGTGTCAGCTGGGGGCAATTACCTAAACGTGTGGGACATCCTCGCAGGTGAGCAGGGGCCTATCCACGCAGTGAAGCGCCAATGCGAAGGCATCATGTGGCAAGTTACTATGGACTTGCTGCTGCGCCCAGTGCCTCCATGGGTCTGCCTCTGTGCGGCACACCTGGTCTCTTTGCGTGCATCCAACTTGCTGGGAAGGCCCACTGTGGGGAGTGGCATCCTGTGCAGGCGGGCGGCTGCTGCGGCGCGTGAGCAACCACCAGAAGACCATCACGAGCGTGGCACTGGCCACCCCCCGTGGGGCCACCTTTGCTGGGGGCGCCGCTGCGCCGCGCCTGCTGTCTGGTTCCCTGGACGGTCACGTCAAGGTGTATGACATCAACGATTTCAAGGTGCGCCTGACACCGTGTTTGCCCTTTCCTCTCTCCTTGCTTCCCACCGAGTCACAGGCCGAAGTAAGGCTGGTCGTGCCTCTTCCTCGATCGTAATATGTGTCCTGCCCCCGTCTAGCCCAGTCTTTCCCCATGTCATCCTGGAGCGTCCCCCCACCCTTGTGTGCCCCTTGTGTGCAGGTGACCCACGCTTCGCGCTACCCTGCGCCGGTCCTCAGCCTGGGCGTGTCACCCAACTGCACCACCCTAGCAGTCGGGATGACCAGCGGCCTCCTATCCATCCGCACGCAGGAGGGCTCGCGGCGTGCCACGGCCGCTCCTGTGGGCCGCGGCGGTCGGGGCATGCTGGGCCTGCGCCCCAAGGCGCGTAAAAGGCAGCGCCAGCAGTTGCAGGTGCGTCGCAACGGGGCTTCGTGGCAGTGGCCCCCTGCCAGGGTGATCTCGATCCTCGATTCGTGGTAATCCCTCTGTGTCTCGTTGTCGGATAGATTAGTCGGGGGATGGACAGGGCCAGACGACGAGTTTCCGTTCACGTTTTCCGGCGGTGTCTCTTGGCACGCTGACCGACTGATCCGTTGCCTGCAGCCGGGCACGTACCGCTACTTTCTGCGGGGCCAGGCCGAGGACGCCCCCGCCGGTGCCCTCGTGCTGCCGCGTGATCGCGCTCCCCGCCTGGCCGCGCACGACAAGCTGCTGCGCCGCTTCCAGTACCGTGAGGCCCTGGACGCTGCGCTCCATGGGGGCCGCCCTGAGGTGAGCGCGCACGGCGGCACCTGGAGGGGCCCCGTTTGGCCGAACACAGCTGTGACACTTTGGCCCGCGTGATTCATCCCCAACCATCGTGCTACATGACGGCAGACGACCACTACTTTGGGACGCAGCCTGGTGCAGCCCGTTGCTAGATATAATTTTTATGTTCGCTGTGCTGTCCTTCGGCCCGCTCTCTCCCTTTGGCGCCTCCGCGGACTGAGCCGCCCTGGGTGTGCCTGGCAGGTGGTGGTGAGCGTGATGGAGGACCTGGTGGCGCGCCACGGCCTCTGCTCCGCGCTGGCGGGCCGGGACGCCGCAGCCCTACAGCCCCTCCTCGCCTTCCTCGTACGGTAAGTTGTGGCTTGCGGGTGGCCGCCTTGCACCCTGCCTTGGTGCACTTCGGGGCTGCCTTGTCCGCAGTTGCGGCAACAGCCTTGAGGCGGGCACGCCCTCCCAACCTTTGCTGTCTCTCCCCGCACAGCTCGCGGTTTGCTCTGCACTTCGTGGTTACCCCCATTGTCGGTCCTGCTGTGACTTACTGACTGCTGTGCGGTGGCTGGCAGGTACGCGGTGCACCCGCGGTATGCGCGCCTGCTGCTCCGCGTGGCGCACAAGGTGCTGGACCTGTACGCGCCCACGCTGGGGCGGGCCCCCCAGGTCGACACCCAGGTAAGACGCTGCGCGCCTGCCAACTGGCGCACCTGCAGCGGAATCAGGCCGTGGCTGCAGCACCCCCCGCAATCCTGCTCACTGCTGCGGTCCGTTGGGCCAGGATGGGAAGCCCAGCCACAGAGATGGCTGGGTCGCAGCCAGGATCTGGCTCTGGCCAGGGCCCGCCGTGACTTTTGAGTGCGTGTGGCTTTGCGCAGATGGAGCTGCTGCGGGAGCGCGTGCTGGTGGAGGTGCGGCTGCAGCAGAGCCTGCACGCGCTGCAAGGACTCCTCCAACCCATCATCGCAGCATCCATCTCGGCAGGGACCTGATAGGCGCAAATCGCACTGGCGCCAGCCCAACGGAGTGTCCTCATACCAAGGTGACAGGCGGTCACCGTACGTTGAGAGTCGTGCAGGTGTGGTTGGTGACGCTTCTCTCGAGCCTTCTCCGGAGAAGGGTCTCAGGCAAAGGCCCGACGACGGGACAAGACAGACAAGAAGACTCGTGATGTATGTGTCTGGTCAATGCCAGTACCACTTCAGTACCAGGCACTTGCGTTCAGTGGTTGGGTGCAAGGCCTGTTTGTCTGTGAGCGCCTGCGAAGAGTACATGGTGCGATAATATAGGACACTGATGCGGGTTTGTTGGTCGTCGTACTGAGTACAGTCTATCTATGGTGCTAAAGAGCAAGTCGTCAAGCTTTTAGTATCAGGGCACATGCTTACAAATGACTGGTTGCTGCATACAATCTATAGTCCATCGGGCTTCGAATGGGTCTTGTAACATTTCAAAGGTTCCCCCCAAATATATGGTCCTTTGATGCTGATTGAATGTTGACATGATTGTTGAATGATTTACGCACGCGAATCTCACAACCGTCCTCACTGGGAGTCATTCAAATGTACTTTTGATATCACAACCATGCTTGTAAAACATGCTCGACTGTAGTCATTAGCGAAAACGATCGAGACGGTTCTAGAACATGTGAGTAGCTTGTGAAGTATGTTACACGGCGACATACACCTGTAGCCGGATTGCACTTTCAAAAGAGAACTGTGCATATATATGACAATTGAACGGTATGGAGCCATGCTGAACGGCGTCAACCCAAGTATTATTTTCTGTTACTTAGCCTCATGCAAAATTCACAATCAAACCGGATTCACATGGAATGTTAGCAGCTGCACGCTGTCTATAACCATTTGCACTTGATCCATCGCAGAACTTAGAAGCACATGTCCAAAGGATCGCAATCAGGAGAGAAGTTGGGTTCAAGTTTGGACGGTACAGTCAGCATTGATGAGAAACTTGGCACACGTTGTTTGTGACGAGAAGGGGATACGAATGCCGAGAATTGCGGGATTTTGTCAATCTATGCAAACAAGAGCTTTTGTCAAATAGTAGAAACTGTCAGGGCGCACTCCCTCTCCCGATACATCGCCTGAGTGTTGGAAGCACCCATGCACTAAGTGACGAGCAATGGGAACAGAGGTAGCAATAGACTTCCGAGCTCTCAATTTACTTCAGTCATGCCGGGTAGGCAGACCGGTCCACAAAGGCCGTTGTCTGGATGGCCTCTTAACCGCTAGCCTTATGTTGTTGCCATAGCACAGCTACAATTGGAGTTCCATAGCCGATGGTCAAGAAGGCTACCATAGCAGTGCCGAATTTCAGCTTCCTGTTCTTCATCTGCATAAGGCCAAAAAAGTGTGCTCATGCTCCGCATTCAACATAGAAGTGTACTGCTACGACAATGTCAGACCTGATAGGGAACACAGGGAAGCATAGGACAAACTAGGGAGATCTGCGAAGCCTGGAACAAGCTAAAAGCCAATCTGCACCTAGCCATTGCAGACAAGTTAGAGTCCGCCTGCACCTTGTACATACCAAACCAATCAGAAGGTGGTTATTGAAGCCCTGCTCCAGACACCGAAGGATTGGCTTTGAGCCAGGTTTTGGAAACTGATGCACCAATTTTTCTTGTATCAGCCAGAACTCATCCATCTCTAACAACTGGTGATCTGGACTTACCTCGGTGATGTTGTACATGTGCTTTGCATGCATATAATCATTCTGCACGAGACGACGCGCATAAGTTATGAGTGCTCGTGAGGTGATCGCTCGTTGACATTGAGTTCTCCGGATTCTGAGTACCGCAGCTCATTAATCATGCTTCTCAAAAAAAAAAGCGGATCATTCCGTCTTGCACCTGAAAGCAGCAGCCTCCATGTGCAACAAATACTGGATATGGAATGCAGGTGCAGCATGGCAGGAATGGCAAAAAAACGAGCAATATGCATTCGGCACCACTATGTATTGCAAACCGATAAGACAATGTCTGAACTGTTGTCTGGTTCTGTCGCTCTGAAGGAAGAAAGAGACACGAAAGACCGTATGCCTGGAAGGTTACAAGGACTGAATTCAGGCCTCCTCGTGCTCACTGCAGGAATGTGGTGAATCAGTATTGAAGAAGGACGTCCATTGAGCAAAATAAAACAATTATGAAGATCCTTAGGCAAACACATGTCTGGCTCAGACCTGGTGAACAGCTTACCTCATGTCCATATCCGCCCGATAGTTTAGGGGTTGTGCCAGTATGGATAGACCTTGCCAGGGGGGTTGTGCGTAAGGCTGCCGCCATGCGCCTTGCTGAGCCAGCTAAAGAACCAGCCATTTTGAAAGGTGCCAGATCTTAAGCAGCTCCCGGCAACGAATGCTGAACCAAACCCTCCCTACTCTCGAACACCTACCTACGGTACAAAGAGCTGAAGGCAAACTCCCCAGACCTGCGCCACT